CACACACACACACACCCCACACACCACACGCACACCACACACACACACACACACACCCCACACACCACACGCACACCACATACACACACACCACACACCCATCACACACACACGCACACCACACACACCACATACACACACACACACACACACACCCCACACACCACACGCACACCACATACACACACACACACACACACCGCACACCACATACACACACACACACACACCGCACACCACATACACACACACACACACACACCGCACACCACATACACACACACACACACACACCCCACACACCACACACACCACATACACACACACACACACACACCCCACACACCACACGCACACCACATACACACACACACACACACACGCACACCACACGCACACCACACACACACACACACCACACACACACACCACACACCACACACCACACGCACACCACACGCACACCACACACACACACACACACATACACACACACACACACACCCCCACCGGCTCCCAGGTCTCCACTCCACACGAGACACATGGGGCCTCGGCCCCCCCTCCTTCTCTCTCGAGGCTGAGGCCTGGTGTCCCCGCACGTCCGTCCCCCGGTGTCCCCGCACGTCCGTCCCCCGGTGTCCCCGCACGTCCGTCCCCGGTGTCCCCGCACGTCCGTCCCCCGGTGTCCCCGCACGTCCGTCCCCGGTGTCCCCGCACGTCCGTCCCCCGGTGTCCCCGCACGTCCGTCCCCCGGTAGGGGCCAAGTACCAGGGCTGGAGTCTCAGTCTTTCTTGGCACTTTTGGGGTTTTTTTTTGTTTTTCTAGACAGGGTTTCTCTGTGCAGCCCTGGCGCCTGTCCTGGATCTCGCTCTGTAGCCCAGGCTGGCCTCGAACTCACGGAGATCCGCCTCAGTGGTTTTGGAGCCTCGTCCTTAGCAGTTTTAGACCTCAGCCCTTAGTAATTGTTGAGCTCAGTCCTCAGTACTTGCTAAACTTAGTCGTTAGTACTCACCATGTAGACCAGGGTAGCCTGGAAGTCACAGCTACACCTGCGCCGCCCCACGAGTGCTGGGATTGAACGCCTGCATCACCAGGCCTGGGGCTTTTAGCACCTTTTGAGCTTAGTCCTCGGTGCCTTCATACTTAGCTCAATCTTCAGCACTTTGCGGACTTAGTCCCTAGTACCTTCCAAACGAGTCCTCGTCTGGGCCGCGCACTGGGCTCACGGTCCGCTGTCCCCAGGTCACCACGGACCTGCACCACCAGTGCACGGACAAGCACACGGGCACCTCGGCCTCCGCCCCTCTGGCCGCCGGCATGATCGCCCTGGCTCTGGAGGCCAAGTAGGTGACGTGGGGCCCCGCCCACCTCCCCGCCCCCACGGGCGGCGCCCGGCTCACCCGCCCTCGCCCCCCAGCCCGCTCCTGACCTGGAGGGACCTGCAGCACCTGGTGGTCCGCGCGTCCAGGCCGGCGCAGCTGCAGGCGGAGGACTGGAGGATCAACGGCGTGGGGCGCCAAGGTGCGGCGGGGCCAGGCCGGGGGCCGGGGTGCCGTGCACGCAGGGCGAGTGACGGTCCCCTCCCGTGCAGTGAGCCACCACTACGGCTACGGGCTGCTGGACGCGGGGCTCCTGGTGGACCTGGCTCGCGTGTGGCTGCCCACGCAGCCGCAGAAGAAATGTGTCATTCGGGTGGTGCACACCCCCACGTGAGGGAGGCCCCGCCCCGCCCCGCCGGGGAGGGCCCCGCCCCGCCCACTGGAGGGAGGCCCCGCCCACAGCCCAGGAGGCTGGTCCAGGTCTCCACCCTGCACGTTGTTGCAGCCTCCCCTACCTCCCCACCCTAGTCCAAGGCAGGGAAGATGCCCCGAAGCCTCAGTTTACCCATCTGAGGAAGGAGAGTGCCCTCAGGCCCCTGGACCCCCAGACCCGCCTCCCGGCGCCACCCGGCCCACGGCAGGCCCACAGGACCGTCCTCACCTTACCAGCTCCATCCTGCCCCGGATGCTGGTGTCGAAGAACGTGTCTGCGTGCTCTTACGGCTCGCACCGCCTCATCCGCTCGCTCGAGCACGTGCAGGTGCAGCTGTCCCTCTCCTACAGCCGCCGCGGGGACCTGGAGATCTCCCTCACCAGCCCCATGGGCACACGCTCCACGCTTGTGGCCATCAGGTGTGAGATCCTCCCAAGTGGCCCTGTGGGCGAGGGGAGCCCTGCCTAGCCCCTGCAGGTGGTGGGACTGAAAGACACGTGTCACCCGCCACCCGTCCTGTGTCTCCCGTGTCACCCGCCGGCCACAGACCCTTGGATATCAGCGGCCAAGGCTACAACAACTGGATCTTCATGTCCACCCACTACTGGGATGAGGACCCGCAGGGGCTGTGGACCCTGGGCCTGGAGAACAAGGGCTACTACTTTAACACAGGTGAGAGCTGGCTGCGGGATGCGGGATGCAGGGCTGCAGGGCTGCTGGGCTGCTGGGCTGCGGGCTGGGGCTGTTGGGCTGCAGGGCTGTGAGCTGCGGGCTGCAGGGCTGCAGGGCTGTGAGCTGCGGGCTGCAGGGCTGGGGACCCTCCCTGTTGTAGTTGACTCACAACCACAGAGGGTCCCGGGGTTTTCTTGGAGAGACCATGCAACAGTTACTTTAGCACACAGTAGGTGTTTTTACCTGAGGAAGGTTGGGTCCCAGCCACTGGTGCACAGTAGGTGTACAGTTACGGGAAACATGGGGGAGGAGGATCTGACCACTGGCACACAGTAGGTGTACAGTTACGGGAAACATGGGGGAGGAGGATCTGACCACTGGTGCACAGTAGGTGTACAGTTACGGGAAACATGGGGGAGGAGGATCTGACCACTGGCACACAGTAGGTGTAAGGTTACCTGACGGAAGTGGATGGGGGGTGGTCTGAGCACAGTGGCACACAGTAGGTGTGCAACAACCTGGGAGAATCATGGGGGTGGTCTGACCAGTGGTGAATAGTAAGGAATCAACTACCTGAGGGATACGATGAGGTCTGGCCACCAGCACACAGTAGGTGCAAGTGTCCTGAGGAAGTGGGGGCCTCCAGCACCAGTACACAGTAGGTGTGTAGCGGCCAGGCTCAGTTGATATGGGGCCCTGGGTGGGAGCCACTGAGGTTGGCTACAGAGCCTGGCAGGCCACCGACAGCCTGCCCCCCTCGGTGCCCACCACGACCCCTGCCCAGGAACTCTGTTCTACTACACGCTGCTGCTGTACGGGACGGCCGAGGACATGACAGCGCGGCCCCCGGGCCCCCAGGTGACCAGCCGCGCGTGTGTGCAGAGGGACACAGAGGGGCTGCGCCAGGGTGAGTGGCCGCAGCGCATGGTCACTTGTCGGGGGAGGAGGCGCAGCGGCCCGGGATGGGTGGGCGGGCGCTGGCTGTCCTCTCCAGCGGCAGCCTCACCCCATTTCCATTCTGTCCCTGTACAGAAAGCCATGTTCCCCCCGCCAGCCTGGCCTGGCTCTGCCTCCTCTCCAGCCGGCAGTGGTGGCTCCACAGCCACACAGAGCAGCCAGTGACCGAGGGACAGGCCAGCTGTCACCCTCCTGTTACACCTGCTGGGGCAGCTTGACCAGCGACTACACTGCCTGTCCCCTGTCCCTAGTGCTGGATGAGCTCCAGGGCTCCTCCAAGGCCTGCCATCTCCGGCGGCACCCCGGCTACCAGTCCCGGGCCATGGCGCGGGCCCCGCTGGCCAGAGCCTTCAGGAGACCCCTCTCGGCTTGAGGAAGGCCCACCCACCCCAGGCTAGACGCCCCAATGCCCGAGACCCTGAAGGCTGGGGAGCCAGATGCCTGACTCAAAGGACAGAAGGGCAGTACCCCAAGGCCCCGCTCCCAGGCTGGAATAGGACCCTGCCCCCAGAAGGCCCTGGCAGATCATCGGGAGGCCACTGCGTGGGCCACGGCTGCTCCTGCTGGAAGAGGTGTCTTCTTACTCGTTTTGGAGCAGGACACGGGGTGCAGTGGGCAGAGGTCAGACCACAGCCACCGACCATCTGTCCCTTCCCTGCCCTGTGTCTGACCTCATAGTTGGTAAATAAAAGTTAAATGGATGTCCAGTCTGTGGTGTCCTTCAGGGCCGGGTGTGCCCAGCAAGACGGGGCCCCTGGAGGGCTGAGGAGCCACAAAGGGACACTGCTTCAAGCCCGAGACCCGGGCAGGAGGAGAGTGCCTGGGCCAAAGTACCCTCCACCCAGTACCGTCCGTCCGTGCCGAACCACCGCACACCCGGCCCGGACACGGACAGGATTGACAGATTGATAGCTCTTTCTCGATTTCTTTTGTTGTTGGTGGTGGTTTTTTGAGATTCTCTGTGTAGCCCAGGCTGCCCTGGGTCTCGCTCTGCAGCCCAGGCTGGCGTCGGACGCACGGAGATGCGCCCGGCTCTGCCTCCGAGTGCTGGGGTTACAGTCCGCCCCCTCCCAGGACAAGGAAACCGGGCTCCTGGAACACGTTACCCTGTGGACAGGCACCATCCAGCATTATTACTGGTAGTTCAGCATTGTTGAGCGCCCACTGCGGACCTGGCAGTAGTCGGACACTGACTCCCAGTTGCTGCCCAGCCAGCGGAACTCGGACTCACGCTCACCACTCGTCCCTCCGGCCACTCGTGGTCAGGGAGGCGGAGAGCCTTCGATCCCTTTGGATGGCACGAAGGAACGTCTAGGACTAGGGCTCTTTAAGACGGGGGAGGAGTTTCGCGAGGAGCGGAGCCGGAGCGGACCGGAAGTGCAAGGCCGGGGCGGTCCTCAAACAGGAAGCGGAAGTAGTGGCGGCCGCACAGATTCTTGGACCCCAGATAGGCTGTAGGGGTGTTTTGGGGCAAACTGAGGCCGAGTTTGAGCCAGACTCTGAGACCCCGGGGGAGGGAAGGCGAGACGGGGACTGGGCCTCGGCGCAGGGCAGTGACGAGTGCGTGGAGGGAGGGCCACGCGGGGAGGGAGGGCCACGCGGGGAGGGAAGGCCACGCGGGGAGGGAGGGCCACGCGGGGAGGGAGGGCCACGCGGGGAGGGAGGGCCACGCGCGGAGGGAAGGCCACGCGGGGAGGCCCGCAGTCCGCGCGCTCCTCCGCCTGCAAGATGAGCTCCAAGGGCAAGAAACGCGTGGTGCTGCCCACGCGCCCTGCGCCGCCCACGGTGGAGCAGATCCTGGAGGACGTGCGAGGGGCGCCCGCCCACGACCCCGTTTTCACCGCCCTGGCGCCGGAAGGTAGGAGGATGCGAGAGTCCCGAGCCCAGCCTGCCCGAGTCGGGCAGCCCTGATGCTTGCAGCCGGGCCCCGGGGACCGATCTGTCGCCGGCCCTCTCCGACTCTGTCAAGTGGGGTCATCGAAGGCAAAGCTGAGGGGCCGGTGAGCTTGTGTGACTTAAACCAATCCAGGAGTCCGGGAAGGAGGGAGGGTTGCTGTGACTTCAAGACCTTATCTCAAAGGCAAAGAGGAAAAAGCCCACGCCAGTGGCTCCTACCTGGAAATCTGGGGAAAGGCTACGTGCAGGGGCCGTTTTCTGCGAGTCCTGCCCTAGAATCCAGGAAACCAGGCATTTCTGGGTGGGACAGCAAGGCCAGGGTGGCTGGAGGGGTCCTGTCCCCAGCGACCCCCGGATCCTGGGGGTTTCAGGCCTGTGACTGTCTTCTAGGGCTTAGACAGGTCTCGTGTAGCCTCCAACGCACTTGTAAGCTCTGGATGTGAAGTTAAGGCTTGCTGGCCTGTGGGTGGTGACGCTGTTTCTCCTCTCCAGACCCCCCAGATCCATCCCCAAGGACCGACGACCCTGAGGCCAGGTACGAGCAGATCTACCAACAGAGCCGTGCCTATGTGGCCATGAACGAGAGGCTGCGGCAGGCGGGGGACACGCTGAGGCAGAAGTTCGAGGAGCTTCGGCAGGCTGGTCAGAGGCTTGAACAGGATGTTAGCCAGGTGACCTCAGCCACCTCCTAGAGCCGAGGCTCCAGCTGAGGCGCTTGCCAAGGCCAGGCATCTGGCTGACAACCAGAGGCTCTGGGTCAACATCTGCCGCCCCAGCACTGGACTGAGGGGTCCCAGTGGCTCACTGGGCAGGCTTTGGGTCTTGGTTCCCTCTTCCATCCTTGGTGGCCTCTAATTTGGGGTGGATCAGGGACGTGGCCACCTCCTCATTCATGGCGGCACCGGCCTGGATTGCATCTAGGACTTGGCTGGAGGTCGGGGCTCAGAGCCAGCCTGCCCCACAGTGACCAGCCCTCAGCCACTGTGCCCTGGTCCCACTTCCTGCCCCATGTCGTCACCCTGGGCAGCTAGGGTCTCCATCCCCAACATCCACAGCAGGCTAGACCCTGTATGTCCAGTGTCACCTCAGTTGAGAAGATGGACCGACTACCCCCTTCCGAGAGCCTGGCTGCCGCGGCCTTACCTGCTCTCTGGTCCCATCTCCCTAGGGCTGGAGGAACTCAGCAAGGGGGTTTTCACTGCAGGAAGTCCAGGAGAGGCCCAAAGCACGGACAGTGCAGGGATCTCTGCAGGTCCCTGCATCATGCAAGCTCAGCTGGGCACCCATAGGACGCCCGTGTGGTGGGCATTGCCCCTTCTGGACCTGTGGTTCGGTTGACCTTCTTGCTGAAGCCCCACCGCTCTAGGGTGGGCAGGCTTCATTTCTGGAACATCAGAGTTTGATTCTAGAGCTCACACCTCCCCATAGTTGGACACTGGATCTCTGGGCCCCAAGTCCATGCCAGCCTCTTCGCGCCTTGGGGGGGTCGGCCACCCCACATGACTTCTCACATCCCAAGCTGGCTGGGACTATGTCAGAAATGGCCTTGGCGCGTGGCCACCTTATTCCTGCCGTTCCCCATTCCTCGGAGTCACAGAGACCTATTTATTCCGGGTTTCCGGGTCCCCACCTCCAGAAGTGGCCGGTGGCTGGTGTCCTAGAGCAAATGGCCGGGTGTGGCTCGGCTGACCCTGAGTCAACCTCGGCTCTAGCATGTGTGGACCTGGTGCAGTGTCCAGTCGGCGGGGGCTCAGGTCTGTGCACCAGCGCCTTGTGGGGTTGGACTGTAGCTCCGGTAGAAGGTTCTGGAACAACCTCCCCACTCCATATCCCATGTTGAAGATGAAAGCCTTGGGCAGCCCCAGAGCGACTCAGCGACTGATTTTATTAAAGATGTGAACAAGAACCAGAAGCCGGGTGTCCCGCTGGGTGTGTCTACATGGGGTTGGGGGGTCAGTATGTACATAAATGTTCACCCTGTAGGACGGACGGACGGGACAGAGATGGGGCAGCAGCAGGGGACAGACCAACCAGGTATGAGCAGGACGGTGCCACAGACGGGTCGGGAGGTGAGGTAACCGGTGGGCATGCCGCCCTGTTGAGGCACCCAGTGGTTAGTGTGCAGGGGACCACTGGTCTCCGGCTCAGGGCGCCCGTAGCCAGCCTGGCGGGCAGCGGACCCTCCTCTTCCGTCTCTGAGGACACTCCAGAGGCAGGCTGACCCCTGGCTCTGGTCACCCTCCCAGAAGCCGCTGTCCCACGCCAGCTCTTACCTACCCTGGCCTGGATGTAGCTCTGCGGCTTGTGTACCCCGCTGTGGGGTGGAGAAGGCTAACATGGCTGCTGGGCCCAAGGCTGAGGGCGGGGGAGGCGGCTAAGAGTGACGGCCCTTCCGCACTGGTGCCACGGTCCAGACCGGCTATGGCTGCACTCAGTCCTCCCACGGCCCACGTGGGGAAACTGAGGTACAGAGCAGCACGTGCCACCTGGGGTTTCACAGTGCGTGGTTTACAGATTCAGTCTGCAGAAGATGAGATTCACCTCTCCAGCCCCAGCTGGACATCTGTCTACCGCCACGTCCCCACCACGGGGAGGGGGGGCGTCCGGGGTTACGTGGTGGATGTGGGCTGGGGTCCCAGAGCTGCCTTGCTTCCTTATCTCCCTCCGGCCAGCATGCCCTTGGGACTCTGCCAGATTCCTGTGCAGCAGGCGAGGTCCTGGGATGGAGCAGGTGGCACCCGGCGTTCCCGCTGTGGGATTTCAAAGCACTGGGTGGATGTCGGGAGCCGGGTGAAGTCGTGCATCACTGTGGGGCCAGCCCTGGGGGTACCCTCTAGTTGTGAGTGTGCCCACGCATGAGGGCGATCGTGGATCTGCCGGCTCCCCTGCCATAAAAAAGGACTGGTGGGGAGAGCAGCGGCGTCTACAGGCTTTTCCGGGGTCTCCCACCTTGTTCTCAAAACCACCTCCCTCCTCTCAGAGCAGGGACTTGAGGCCAGCTCAGGGAAAGTGTCCTCTGGGAGCGACTCCTGCAGGTGGACGTGGTTACAGTCCCCTTGCAGAAAGGAGCCGGGGTCCCACAGGAGAGAGGTTGCTGGCTCTCTCTGCAGGAAGACACACTGAGCTGAGACCCAAGACCCGGGTCCTCGAAGGCCCGCCCCCTACCTTGGGTCTTCATCCAACTCCCCCCCCCCGTCTTGATCCCTGCCCTCCATGGCAGCCCCGGGCCCCCCACATTGACTCCAGGCTGTGGGTGAGCCGAGGATCTCACATCCTGACACCTCCCGCTGCATCATAAACACAGTGAACCGGGAAGGACCAGGCTCCCACAGACGGACCTGCCTCCTCCCGCCTCCCCAGGGATGCCCAAGCCCGCTCGTCCTTCCTCGGCCCCTCGAGCCTGTCCAGCTGGCAGCCAGCCTGTCCTCTCTGAACTAGAGCCCCTCTTCGGCACAGTGAAGGGACTCGGGGTCAGCGGCTCCCCAGCATCTGTGCTGAGGGACCGTTCACCCACCTCTCAGCGGCCGTGATGAACGCTCCGTGAGCAGCTTGGCTACGCCCCTTACGCAGCGCTCCTCAGCTGCCTCTGAGAAGGCAAACGCGCCTGGCAGAGTCCTCATTAACCAATTAGCCCGGCACTAATTACAGGCTTCGTGGTGTAGGGCTGAGGCAGCCCCAGCTGCCATAGCCTCCCCACCCTTCCCACAGCCTGTCCCCACCTCGGAGGCAAGCTCAGTCACCTCCCTAGAGACCGTGCCCACGCTCCCACTGGGTGCAGCCCAGGGCAGGTCCTCCATGGACCTACAGTGTCCCTCAGAGCCTGGCTCTCCATCCCCTTCCCAGGCCAAACTCAGGAAATGGCGCTGTGTGTGCCCTGGGGCCTGTCTATAGCCGGTTCCCTCGAGCCCCAGGCGTAGCAGCAAGGGCTGGCTCTGAGGTGTGGAGATGTGAGCTGAACAGGAGCTCCGAGGGCATAGATGTGCCTACTCGGAGCATCTGGAGAGCAAGCCCCCAGGGCAGCCAGACTGGGCCACAGGGCAGAGAGAATGTTCCAGAAGGCTGGCCTGCACCCACTACTCCAGGAGGCTGGCTGGAGAGGTGACAGGGGCTTTCTCCACTGCAGAGTCGCTGGCAGCTGTGGCCACCGCCATAGGGCTGGGTACATAGTTGAAGGGAGGAACCCGTGCGGCCCTGCTGGGGGAGCCATGCCTGCTGGTGGGAAAGCCCCCCATGACGACACTCAGGCCCTCATGGGTGAAGGGCGCAGAGGCAGGCGGCTTGGTGGGGACTGGCCCATCCACATCGCTGCCCAGTGGGCCAACAGGGGCGCTGGCCGGGGCCTGTGGGGGATCCCTGCTCTCCAGGCTGGGTGACGTGCTGGAGTTGGTCTTAGAGGTAGCCACATCCTCTGTCTGTACCACTGCGTCACTGGTCTTGCGTTGTGGAGTCCCAGCGGGGCTGTCCTCGGGTGATGGACCCCTGAGAGGCAGGGCAGTGGCCGGCAGTGTGCTACGCAGGATGTGGGGGACATCTTCGTCTTTGATACGACGCCAGGTGGTACCTGGCGCAGCCACCCTGGGCAGTGGCCTGGTCTCCCCGTCACTCCCCCGGCGAGTGGTGTTGGCATGGGTGGCGGGCACAGAGGTGGCACTCTCCGGCCTGCGTGCAACGCTGATGTGTGGCAGGGACGCGTACCGCTTGACTGTCTCAGGCCGCCCGGGAGGCGCCCGCACAGGCAGGCGTGAGGGGCTCTCAGAGCTGGTGCGCCTGGGCGCACGTGGAGCAGGACCTGGCTTGGCCTGTGGGGACATCTGTGGTGTCAGGGGCTGCCGTGGGGACGCTCGCAACTCCTCACAGCGAGAGGAGCAGAGGAAGACAGCAGGAAGTGCCGGCCGGCCACGGTGGGGCGAGGCGGCCTGGGAGGGGGAGGCCGCGGAGGCCGCGGAGGAGGACAGCTCCGACCTGCGGCGGCGAAGGAGACCCGGGGATTCCTTGATGAAGGTCAGCTGCCTGCGGAAGCCTGAGCGCTCCGAGGACTCACTGCCACTGGAGCGGGCTGATGCCATACGCACTAGGCCCAGGCGGCCACCACGCACCCCCGCAGCCCCCTCAGTCCCAGCTCTGCCCCTGGGTCCAGGCTCTGGGGACGGCCTGGCCAGTGGTGGTGGCCCTCTCTTGGCTGGCCTTTGCATGAACGGGATCCGCACAGGTGACTTCTGGGTCTTGTGTTGCTTAGCCAGAAGGGCCCGGGCTGGTGACTTGGGCACCGGGGACCCTCCAGGGCCAGGCAGAGGCCCTGCAGTCGGAGTGGCCAGAGGGGACCTCCTAGGCAGGGGCTGGGACGCTGGCGAAGTTTGTGAGGAGCTTGAGGATGGAGTCTTGGCGAGGCGGGCTGGAGGGGTCGCGCTCCTGGGCGGATGACTGAAGGCTGCTAGCTCCGAGATCTTACCTGGCCGGTGGAGGCTCCGTGAACGCTGTTGCCCGGGGCTGGGGGTTTTGGTGGCGGTTTCTGGCTGAGTAGTACCAGATGTCCCCATCTTCTTAGGTGTGGTACAAGTGCCAGAAACTCCTCTGGACTGAGCCCGAGAGGCTGGGCTGGCTGTGTAGATCACCGTCCGGCCCCGGAGCATGGCTGGCTCCCCAGCCACTGTTTTCTGGGTACCCTTTGCCTTCTCGGGGCCACTAGGGAACCGTGGACTCCCACCGATCTTGGTGGAAGTTGCACCCCGTTTCTCTGGGCGCCAGACACCCCCAGCCTCAGCCCCAGGCTTCCGTGCTTTCCTGGGTTTGGAGGGCTGTGTGGTGGAGCCTGTTGACAGTCCGGACACCAGAGACAAGAGGGACTCGGACTCAGAAGACGCCTCCAGGCTGGCCTTGGCGGCCGCCTGGTGCAGCCACGTGACGATGGAGTTCGCGCCCTCCTGGATGGCCTGCCACTCAACACTGTCTAAGTCGGAGGCTGGATCAGAGCCAGGCACCTCCTCGCGGCATCTCCGGGGCACCTCTGTGGGCCGCGTGTCGGCCCGGGCAGCTCTGGTCTTGCGACGCCGAGATCCAGGAACCTGGGTCCGGCGCCTGGGCAGAGCTAAGCTGATACACCTCTGCAGTAGTTCCTCCTCTGCTCTGGGGCTTGGAGAGCTGTCCTGCTTCCTGCCTGGGCCTGGGTCCTTGGTGGTTGCCTGCTCCCGGCCTCGGGGGTGGCTGGCCAGCTGTTCAGGGGCCTCGGGCTCGCTCAGGGAGCTAGCTGAAGAGTAGCAGGGCGGGGTCTCATCCACGATCAGTCTGGGCTGGGCCCTCACGGGGGGTGTGGCAGTCTGTGACGCCCTGGATGGGATCTCCTTCCTTCCGGCGGGTTTCTCACGCTTAAGAGCCCGCGGGATGGCAGACGGCAGCCGGGGTGGTGGTGCCGTGGCTGGTGGCTCCTCCTCAGAGTCATAGAAGCAATACACGGCTTCCTCCGTGGGCGTGGTGAGGCACAGCGACTGCAGAGCGCCGTCCCCTCGGGGCCGGGTCTGGCACGCGCCATCCCTGTTGGATCGAGCACTCTGGGGCCGGCTAAGGGGTAATTCCAGTCCTGCCCGGCTCCTACCGGCCCCCCGGGTCTGCTCTGTACTCTTACCAGCGCTCGCCGCCTTGGGTCGGTGCCCACGGGTCTGCCTGGCAGGGGCAGCTCGGCCTGTGGGTTTCTGCCTCTCTCCGGGCGCTCCCGGCTTGTCCCTGGAGGGTCCCTGTAAGGTCTCATCACTGAGCGATGCCGCACTGGAGAAGTTGACAGGTGTGCCCTCTTCAGAGTCAGTGCCAGAGTCATCATCCGGAGCCGGGGCGGGCACTAACATGTACACGGGCACCGGCAGTGCCCGGCGGCCAGGCACCAACGCAGAGACCACCTTGCGGAGCCGGGCGGGCACGGCT